GCGGGGGTGGCTAGAGGGCTAATCTTCAGGTAAACCATCAGGGCGGGAGCGGGGTTGGGGCTAGAGGGCTAATCTTCAGGTAAACCATCAGGGAGGGGGCGGGGGTGGGGGCTAGGAGGGCTAATCTTCAGGTAAACCATCAGGCGGGGGCGGGGGGGTGGGGGGCTAAGGAAGTTAAGGGCCCACCATTGACTTCTTGAGTGGGAGTGTGCTCAGTTTGGATCTTCTTTATGGTGAAGTGAATCCAAGTTTTTCCACCAGAAATTCAGTTTGTTAGAATTTTATTTTGTGACACCGTGACTTGACTCTATAATGTGTTGGTGAGGTGGTGTTCCTGGACTGTGTTACGTCTTGTTACTGGCTTGTGTTACGTGTTACTTATGGTTTGTGTTACTTGTTGCTGGCTTGTGTTACGTGGTTTGTGTTACTTGTTGCTGGCTTGTGTTACTTGTTATTGGCTTGTGTTACTTGTTGCTGGCTTCTGTTACTTATGGTTTGTGTTACGTGTTGTCGCTAGCTTGTGTTACTTGTTATTGGCTTGTGTTACTTGTTGCTGGCTTCTGTTACTTATGGTTTGTGTTACGTGTTGTTCCTAGCTTGTGTTACTTGTTATTGGCTTGTGTTACTTGTTACTTCTGATCTGTGCTACTTGTTGTTCCTGCCCTCACCACCTTCCTCCTCCTGCCATCACTCACATTCATCTTCTCACACTTACTTATTTTGGGACAGTTTACACGAGACGTCTACTCGGCGCCAGCGTTCACGGGCCAGCAACTAGCGCCTTACACTCGTCTCGTCAACGTGTCTTTTATTTATTTTATGTTTACACGTTCACATTATTGTTTAATCATTACTATCTCCAGAAATTTATGCACAGTAGCTAAAACAACTATCTGTGCAGGTGGGGGTCGATATGCTCCGAAATTTGTACGTGTGACTAGTGACAGCCCTCATACCAAGATTTATCGTCCATGGTCTCATATTGTTTCCCACAAAGTACGAACAGATAGTTGTTTTAGCTACTGTACCTGGCTGGATCTTCAACCGATAGTTCAATCAGAAGGGTATTTACAGCAACATGTCCTCCTCAGGTTTCAATCCACTTTTTTACCCACACAGTCGTTTTTCTCTCTGTTTTCTCCTCAAAATATCCGCCTCTCACTGACTCACACACACACACACACACACACACACACACACACACACACACACACACACACACACACACTAATTCTCAACCTCTCACACACTCACACCTGTCGTGCCCACCTGCTCATTAAGTGTGGTGAGCGTGGACAGGTAACAGCACACCTGGTATAATTATCACTATTTTATATCTCAAGAAACAATAATCATCTTTCTTGATATATTTTATCATTAAATGTTTTCACCTACGTATTATTTGATCTTATTTTCATTACTGTTTTTTGTCTGGTTTATTAATTAATATTAGAAGCGGTGTTTTAACTGATTAGTGTGTCGGGAAATTAGAGATCACCTGAAGATTAGCCCTCCTAGCTTGTTTCACTTGAAGATTAACCACCCTAACGCTGGCCTAATCTAACCTAACCTAATCTAACCTAACCTAACGAAGCCTAACCAAACCTAACCAAACCTAACCTAATCTAATCTAACCTAACCTAACCAAACCTAACCTAACCAAACCTAACCATCACCCCCTCATCAGGTGACATAAACATTGTGATAGTCTACTACTCTTCAGGTGATTCCCAGAACGTATCTAAAAGGTATCTCATTTGCATATCAACGTGTGTAATTAGCTGGGTTCATAGTTATTGTATACAGGTGGATAAAATGATTGTTAAAGTTACCTGCAGTTAATTAGCGACTGTGTTATTCATTTCACAAAGTTACCTGTTAATTAGGTAATGATTGACCCATCTGGCTAACACCTTTACTGCCCACTGTGTAGGTAATGGGGAGAGATGTATGTGTGTGTGTTTGTGTGTGTGTGTGTGTGTGTGTGTGTGTGTGTGTGGCAGAGGTTACCATGACAACCATACTGTATATAGAGTGTTGGAGAGGTAGGTGTGACGTCAGCTGGTCCCTGTCAGCCACCCACAGCGCCCGTCAGCCACCCACACCACCCATCACCCACCCACAGCCCCCATCACCCACCCACACCACCCATCACCCACCCACACCACCCGTCACCCACCCACACCACCCATCACCCACCCACACCACCCATCACCCACCCACACCACCCATCACCCACCCACAACACGGCGTCAGGTGTAACAGTTTTTACCATGGTGTACAGTAAATGTGTCCGGCCTCAGGTGTTGTGTTGGCTGGAAGTTGTATGAACACAATACACTTTTTTATAACCTGTTTTTGTCTGTTTGCTTTTGTCTGTTTGTTTTTCTGTGTTTGTGTTTTTGTAGGGTGTTTTGTGTATATGTTTGTAGTGTTGTGTGCGTGTTTTTTATCAGCACACACACACACACACACACACACACACACACACACACACACACACACACACACACACACACACACACACACACACCACTTCTCCCTTTTCCTTCCTCTATCTCCTTCTCTCCCCTCTTCCCTTCCTTCCCTCTTCCTCTCTTCTATCTTATCCCTTCTCTTCCCCTTTCCTCAATTTCTCCTATTCTAACTTTCTATATAACCCCTCCCTCCCCTCTCCCTCCCTCCCCTTTCCCTCCTCCCCCTCTCCCTCTCCCTCTCCTCTCCCTCTCCCTCCCTCCCTCTCCTCTCCCCTCTCCCTCCCCTCTCCTCTCCCCTCTCCCTCCTCTCCCTCCCTCTCCCTCCCTTCCCTCTCCCTCTCCCTCCTCCCTCTCCCTCCCTCCCTCCCTCCCTCTCCCTCCCTCCCTCCCTCCCTCCCTCTCCCCTTCCCTCTCCCTCCTCCCTCCCCTCTCCTCCCTCCTCCCTCTCCCTCTCCCCTCTCCTCCCTCCCTCTCCTCTCCCCTCTCCTCCCTCTCCCTCTCCCTCCCTCCCTCCCTCCCCGCGCCAGACCTATATATAACACAGTAGGTGATCACAGCACCCCACCTCAGTGCCTAAGTGCTGTAACCTAACCTAACCTAACCTAACCTAACCTAACCTGACATAATCTCACTGAACGTAAAACTGTCAGCTTCATCATATCCTAAGCTTAAAACTGTCAGCTTCATCACACCTAAGCTTAAAACTGTCAGCTTCATCACACCTAAGCTTAAAACTATCAGCTTCATCACACCTAAGCTTAAAACTATCAGCTATCACACTGCTTAAAACTGTCAGCTTCAACACAACTAAACCAATTTCATGTAAGCTGACCCCAATATCATGGCGGATGTGACTGTGTTTACAAACTTTGATATGACGTGTGTGTGTGTGTGTGTGTGTGTGTGTGTATACGTATATTACATCATTAAAACTAAAACTAAAAATTACTTTAAAACACCAAAATGAAAAAACACCACAAACAGAGACCCAACACATCATATTTATTATTCCCCCTCTCAGACACACTTTTGTCTGTCTGTCTGTCTGTCTGTCTGTCTGTCTGTCACATCCGGAACAAAACACCAGAATTGTTTCATTATTTCTTAACAACAATTTTCTATCTTGTCCTGGAGAGAGAGAGAGAGAGAGAGAGAAGAGAGAGAGAGAGAGAAAGAGCGCCTTCTCCTACTCGAGTAAACTAACTCATTAAAATATTATTATCACCTGTATATTAGACACCCTAGTTAATTACACCGGTTGATTAAATATCCTAATGCTACTCGGTTACGTTAGAATTTGGTTAGTGTTAGGTTAGGGTGGTTACGCTGCAGGTGAATTAAGCTGGCGTGTCTAATATTATCATTACAACAATAAAATCATCATTAACATAACATTAACACAACATTAACATAACATTAACACAACATCATTATTAACCTAATTACCAACACTGAAGACTAATTACATCACGACACTTATATTCTTTGGTCATGCTTCAGCCCATCAGAACACACAACAGCCCATCAGAACACACGGTAGTCTATCAGAACACACAACAGCCTATCAGAACACACGGTAGTCTATCAGAACACACAACAGCCCATCAGAACACACGGTGTCTATCAGAACACACAACACCCTATCAGAAGACACAGTAGCCCATCAGAACACACAACAGCCCATCAGAACACACGGTAGTCTATCAGAACACACAACAGCCTATCAGAACACAACAGGCCACCAGAATACATAGCAGCCTATCAGAACACACAGTAGTCTATCGAACACACAGCAGCCATTCAGAAGACACAGTAGCCCATCAGAACACACAACAGCCCATCAGAACACACGGTAGTCTATCAGAACACACAACAGCCTATCAGAACACAACAGGCCACCAGAATACAGCAGCCCATCAGAACACACGGTAGTCTATCAGAACACACAGCAGCCATTCAGAAGACACAGTAGCCCATCAGAACACACAACAGCCCATCAGAACACACATCAGTCTATCAGAACACACAACAGCCCATCAGAACACAGTAGCCCATCAGAACACACAACAGCCCATCAGACCACACAGTAGCCCATCAGAACACACATCAGCCAATCAGAATACATAGCAGCCCATCGGAACACACGTAGTCTATCAGAACACACAGCAGCCATTCAGAAGACACAGTAGCCCATCAGAACACACAACAGCCTATCAGAACACATAGCAGCCCATCAGGACACACAACACGGCATAATCTCGGTGAAACAAGCAGATACAGACAGACAGACAGATAAGTAAGCAAACAGTATGACAGACAGACACAAGAGTAAGCAGACAGGAGGACGGACAGACAGACAGACAGATAGACAGACGGAAGATGAAGCAGACAGACAGACAGATGAATAAGCAGATAGACAGAAGATGAAGCAGACAGACAGACACAAACAGGCAGACAGACAGAAACACAAGGAGAAAGAAAGACCAATAATAATAATAAAAAATCTTGTTGGGGGGGACTGACCTGGGCGCTTACCTGAAGGCGGTGTCTTGCCTCAGGTGTTGGGGAAGGTCCTCTGGCCAGGTGGGGAGGCAGTACCACCCTCAAGCCCGCGCGGGACATCTCAGACGCGGCACTACTGATGGAGAAGAGCGAGAGTTCAGTGCTGACGCTCTCACGGCTCGGCGATCTGAGGAGGCGAGGAGGAGGTGGTGGTGCGGGGGACTTGCTATCACTATTCGCCATCACACTATATCATCACACTATTCGCCGCCGTCACACCAACACCTCCAACCGGTTTGCTCACTCTTCAAGGCTTATTATGTTGAGGAGGAGGAAGGAGGAGGAGGAGGAGGAGCTGGTGGTGGCTAGTTGTTGCTATTTCACCTCCGTTGTCACCACCATCATCATCATCATCATCATCATCATCATCATCATCATCAACATCATCACCTTCTTAATCTCATTCTCTTACAGTTCCTCCTCCTCCAGACACAGAATTCAGTTGTCACAATGTCGATAAAAACCTCCCGCGAGAAATATATTATTATGGCCGATGTTTTTTTTTTTTTGCTGATGCTACAAAAATAAATAAACTAATAACACTGTAAAGGAACTTGTTGTTATTGATCACAGAGGGGGTGGTATGGAGGTGGGGGTCTCAGTCAACATCAGAATTGTAGGTTTTATCTGTGTATTAAAATATTGAAGGGGGAAAGATTATTATTATTATTATTATTATTATTATTATTATTATTATTATTATTATTATTATTATTATTATTATTATTATTATTATTATTATTATTATCATTCACCATCACCATTATTGTTTATCAGTGTGTGTGTGTGTGTGGGTATCGGTCACCATCACCACCATCCCAACACCATTACTGTCTCGCTGTCAATATGTGATGATGTCTCGGTGAGTGTGTAGTCTCTTGGGTGTCTCTTGGTCTCTTTGCTGGGAGAGAGAGAGAGAGAGAGAGAGAGAGGGAGGGAGAGAGAGAGAGAGAGAGAGAGAGAGACTGCACTATTTACTGTCTTTCTCCTTCCTTCCTTCCCTTCTCTTTCTTTTCTCTACCTCCTCTCACCCCATCTCCTCTTTCGTCCCCTTCCCTCTTCTCCTCCTTCCCTTTCCGTCTCTTCATTCTTCCCTTTCTCCCCCCAATTCTCTCTCCTCCCTCTCTTCTCCCCCCCTCTTCCTTCCTCCCCAACTCAAGAGGGCAGATAAACGGGGGAGGAAATCAAAGAAGATAAAAGAATGAACCGGGAAGAGTGTAAGGAAGAGGAGTAACAAGAGACGAGAAGGGAGGGGGAGAGGAAGAACGAGGAGGAGAGAAATAGGAAGAGGAGGGTTAAAGAAGTAGGAAGAAGAGGAGGAGGAGGAGGAAGGGGAGAGAATTGGTGGGGAGGGAGAAAGGAAAGAAAGAAAGAAAAAACAGGAAAGGGAAGTGAAAAGAGGAGGAGCTGAACCAGGGAGGATGAAAAAGTGTGTGTGTGAGAGAGAGAGAGAGAGAGAGAGAGAGAGAGAGAGAGAGAGAGAAGATAGACAGATTGAAAGAATGAGAGTGAAAGAGAGAGAGACACACACAGTGAAAGAGAGAGAGATCAATATTACACCAGGGAAGGTTGCCACGGTGAATACATAAAACCGAAGACTCATCTTAACTCTTCCTAACTTATATACGTGTTAACCTAACCTAACCTAACCTGGCCTAACCTAACCAACAGTGTAGTACAAGAGATAGTTGCTGCTTCAGGTGTGTGTAATGTGACTCTGTAAGGTGATGCCGGGTCTTACCAGCGACTGAACCTGTACCCGGGTCCTCGAGGGTGATGGCCTAACCTAACTTGACCTAACCTAACCTGACCTGATCTGACTTGACCTAACCTAACCTGATCTGACTTGACCTAACCTAACCTAAACATTAACCTAACCTAACCTAACCTTACCTAACCTAACCTTAACCTAACCTAACCAAAACTGTTGGAGGAATGGGCTGTAGAGTCTCTGTTAAGAATCGACCCCATTTATGGTCATAATCTAGGTCTTCCTCCCTCTGTCCCACCCAACTCCCCCACTCCTCCCTCTCACACCCCACTCCACCTTCACCTACTCAGCTCCCCCCCACTCCACCTTCACCCTCAACTCCCCCCACTCCACCCCACCCACTCAACTCCCCACTCACCTTCACCCTCCAACTCCCCCACTCACCTTCACCCTCAACTCCCCCTCCACCTTCACCTCAACTCCCCCCCTCACAACCTCCCCTCCCTACCCCACTCCACCTTCTCCCACTCACTACCCCCACTCCCCCTTCCTACCCCCACTTGGCTAGGAGAAAATACCCTGAGTTAAGAGACCGCGAGGACAAGTCTTCGAGGTCAGTGTGTTGCGTCAAGTTGAAAAAATAACACAAATATAGTTGCAGCAACTCAGAAATTAGGATAACAACTCAGCATTGGGAAGAGCAACACAAAAAAAATAACAAGCAACACAAAAAATTAATAACTCAAAAAATATGAAAAACAACTCTATGTGTAAGAAGCAACTCAAATAATAGATGAAGAAATTAAGGCTGCAACACAAGGCTACAACACATGGCTGCAACACAAGGCTACAACACAAAGCTGCAACACGAGGCTACAACACAAGGCTACAGCACAAGGCTGCAACACAAGGCTACAGTACAAGGCTACAGCACAAGGCTGCAACACAAGGCTACAACACAAGGCTACAGCACAAGGCTGCAAAACAAGGCTATAGCACAAGGCTGCAATTATAAGGTTACAGCACAAGGCTGCAAACACAAGCTGCAACATACACATAACACAAGGTTGCAACATACAAGGCTACAGCACACATGCACAAGGCTGCAACACAAGGCTACAGCACAAGGCTGAAAGTGTACACAAACACAAGGCTACAACACAAGACTACAGCACAAGGCTGCAACACAAGGCTACAACACAAGGCTGCAACACAAGGCTACAGCACAAGGCTGCAACACAAGGCTGCAACACAAGGCTGCAACACAAGGCTACAACACAAGGCTACAGCACAAGGCTGCAACACAAGGCTGCAACACAAGGCTACAACACAAGGCTACAGCACAAGGCTGCAACACAAGGCTACAACATCGTAATTAAACATAATAGTGTGATAAACGTGAACCTTGACGTATAGCAACACACACACACACACACCCACGTCCTCCTCCGTGGCCCTGATCCCTGACCTAGTTTGTGCCACACACTTTAATCTAACTTTAACCTAACCTAACTTAACCTAACCTAACCTAACCTAACCTAACGAACAGGTAAACAAAAACTAAAAAAATAAGTACTATAACACGACATACGTAAGAGCCAATCACGACACGACATGCTTGACCACCAATCAGAAGACAATCCCAAGTAACAACCAATCAGGTAACAGGTAACGGATCAACCAATCAGGTAACAGGTAACGGATCAACCAATCAGGTGACAGGTAACGGGGTGGAAGGAAGAGAGGTGAGTGAAAGGAGGAGGAGGAAGAGAGAGGGGGAGAGGGAGAAGTGGGAAGGGGAGGAAGAGAAGAGAGTGGAAAGGGGAGGAGGAGAAAAGGGGGAAGGAGGAGAGAGGGGGAAGAAAGAGGAAGAAGAGGAGGCAGATAAAGAGAGGGAAGAGAGTGAATGAAGTAAGAGGGTGAAAAGGGTGAATAAAAAGAGGGCATGAGAAAATGTAATAGAGAAGAAGAGGGAGAAGGAGGACGAGAAAGAGGATAGGGAGAAAGGGAGAGAGAGAATGAAGAGAGAAGACAATAACCAAAGGGGGAATAAGGAGATGAAATGATAAAGAGATTGAAGGGTGAATGGAGGAAGAGGAGAGAGAATAGGTTGTGGTGGGTGAGGAAGGAGGGAAGGATAGAGGAATAGGAGAAAGAGAAGATAAGAAACATAAGAATCATTACTAAAATTAAGGGAAATTTGATCACGTGGAAATCCAATGTCGTGTGGTGGTCGGGGGGGGGTGGGTGGTGATGGTGGTAGTAGTGGTGGTAGACAGGGTAATAGTGGTGGTTGTGGTAGTTTCATTGCTAAGAGCTGGTGGTGTGGTCACGTGGTGGTAGTGGTGGTGGTGGCTGGGGGGTAGTAGTAGTAATAATAATAGTTGTAATAGTAGTAGTAGTCGTAATAATAGTAGTAGTAGTAGTAATAATAGTAGTAGTAGTAATAATAATAGTTGTTGTAATAGTAGTAGTAGTAATAATAGTTGTAATAGTAGTAGTAGTAATAATGGGAATCTGCCGGGATGTCATGGTAGAACCGACCCTCCTTCCATTGGATGGTGAGATCTTCCAACACAGGACTTCAAACACATCTAACGAAGCCCGTGTTGACGTCAGTGCTCGAGGATTCTGGACGCGGGGACAGCGAGCTTTCTTCGACATCAGGATTTTTGATCCCATGGCCGCATGTCACCGTAACCTAGCTCTCGATGCTGCACATAGGAGGAACGAGAACGACAAGAGAAGGGGCATATGGGGAGAGAATTCAAAACGTTGATCAAGGCAGCTTCACCGCTAAGGTTCACAACCCTGGTGGATGGGCCCATGGCAAGATGTTTTACGCCAGACTCGCGGAGTTGATCTCCGAATGTAAAGCAGCAGCCCAGGAGTTATGTTACAGCCTGGATGAGATGTCGACTGTCTTTCTCTCTCCTTCGGTCGGCTTTGCTCTGCCTCAGGGGAACGAGAGCTTCTGCCCCTACTCCGACAACTGCTGCAGATATCGACTATGAGGCTACAGTCACTGAATGCCGCATAGATCTGCGGCTCAACTAATTTAACACAGATAGGATAGCTTATTATGTATTAGGATATTTAATATTAAGGTAATTAAATGGTGGCGAAGGTGTGGCTATTGGGGGAGACTGGAGGCCACGTTTTATAAAAAAAAAAAATAATAATAATAATAATAGTTGTTGTAATAGTAGTAGTAATAATAGGAGTAGTAGTAATAATAGTAGTAGTAGTAATAATAGTTGTTGTAATAGTAGTAGTAGTAATAGCGACTGGGTAATAGTAATAACGACACACACACACAAACATAAACATGCTTAAAACTACACTAAACTCTAACATATAATAATAACCACACATAAAATTTAACAACTCAAAAATAATAAACAGAAACACCAAATTATCTCAAACATTACTTATCATGTTTACTTACAACTAACACTACTACTTACACACACTTACAAATACTTTCATGCAACTTAACACATCTGTAACGAAAGAAAAATAATCAGTGGAGTAAAAATATAGCGAAAAAACATTATTTTATGGATATACAAAAAAAATTAAAATATATAGATTGTTATATATATTAATTTACTCATGCTACAGTACAGGTAAAGTAGGTAGGTAGGTGGGTGGTGCACTGTGGGCGTGGTTATGGTGCACTGTGGGCCTGGTCAGGGTGCACTGTGGGCGTGGTGATGGTGCACTGTGGGCGTGGTGATGGTGCACTGTGGGCGTGGTGATGGTGCACTGTGGGCCTGGTCATGGTGCACTG